CCCCGCAATCCCCGCTCAGCAGGGAGGGGCCCCGGGGGCGGGGAGTGGGGGAGAAGCCGAGAACGATCTGGAGGAGGCGGCGGGGGCGGTGCCAGGGTAGGAATAATCCCGGAGCAGCGCCGATTTAGGTTGAAAACACTCCCAGTCATGGGCCCGCACGTGGAGCGCCGGGGCTGGGGGGGCCTGGGGGAGGCATTCGCAGGGCTCCTTTCCCGCCCCGCTAGGCAGCTCACGTTTCCTGGCGCCCACAGTCCTGTCCCCACCTCCAGGCCTCAGGGTCGAGATGGAGAAATCAAGCCACACTTTGAGAGCCCACAGGAGGGAGGGGACAGGTTGAGGAGCGGCTGTCCGGGTATGGGTCCGGGCCTGGCTGCCCTCATCCACACCCACACCGCAGCCAGAAGACGTCGCTCTGCCTGGGGTCAGCCCTCAACCCGTGTGCTTGGTGGCAGCTGCGTCCCTGCACAGGCGGCCCCGCTGCCCCCCAATCTCGCGTCCATGTTCCTGCCGGCCCCCGCTGCTCCTCATACTCCCGGCTTGACTGACTCAGCCCGAGAATCTCCCACCCTGTAGCTCAAAAATGCAAACAGCCACACACCGGCCCAGGCATGGGCGCCGTGGGAGAAAGCTGAGCTCCCAGTGGAGACTGCGGTCTTTCTGCTGGTTAAGCGAGAAGTCCCTGGGGGCTCAGACAAGGCCCCTCTGCCTGGCCCTGGCCCCACCCTCCCAGCCAGACGGTCACCAAGGAGCAGGTTCCCATGGCTCCCAGAGCCCCCTTTCCTGCTGGTGACTGTGAGAGCCCTCATTCCACCCAAAGGGGCTTGGACGACCTGCGTGGGCTGCTAGGGATTACCTCTCCCTTTAGGGACAAGCACCCCGGGTGCTAATACGGGGAAGAGACCTGCTAAAAAGGCGGCCATGCCTGCACCATCCTCAGCCTCAGCCCTGGGGTGCTGGCCCAGCTTGAAGTGGAAGTCTGTCGAGGCTCCTGGGCTCACCCCAGGGGAAAGAGAGGTTACCCTACCTCAGCTGTCTTGTCCTCAGCAGCCTGAGCCTGGCCTGGGAGCTGCTGGGGAGAGGTGACTGTGGCCTCTATGTCCTCCCCAGGGGATGCACTGTGAAGCGGGTGGCCAGAGTGAGCCTAGAGAGCACAGTGGGGCCCGGGTGCTCCTGGGAGGACCCCGCACGTAAGGCATCCAGGCTGACAATTCCCAGATGGTCATGCTGGGGCCCCACAAGAGCTGCCTCTTCTGCGAAGCAAGTCACTGAGCCCTGAGACCTCAGCTCCTGCCCCTTCCCAGCCCTGATGCCACAGCCCAGTCATGCCATTCCCCCTCCCCTGCCCCTCTGCTTGGGCAAACACCGTTCCCCCTGCTTGCCTGGCAGGGTTTCCCTGCCTTAGCCCTGCAAGCTCTTCTCCTCCATCCCTCAGCTCCTGGTGTGAGGTGGCCCCTGCCTCCTGCTCTGGGACCCCCAGCTCTTGAGAAAGCGCCTCCAGGGTCTCACAATCCCACGGGTTATCATCACCGTCCATCTGGTGCCTCTCCTCCTGGCCTGAGGACTCTTGAGGACGGACGGCACCAATGTGCATGGCCTCTGCATGTTCGAGGAATGAATGAATGAGGAATTCGGCCCCACTAGCTCAGTCATGCAGAAAGGGGTGAAGCTGCCAGGGCCCCCGCAGGGCTGATGGAGGATTGCTCAAATTTAGGAGGAGGCCAGTCAGTGGGGAAGGCATAGCTAGGAAAATTAATCCGGATTGTGCCAGGGCCAGTGTCCATGGGGAAAGTGGCCTCTGGGGTTGGGATTAGGTTGGTACCTGAGTCACTGAGAGGGCTCCTAAGACCCCGGGGCTGGGGTGGGCCTTGGAATAAACAGAGCCTTCAGATGAGGAAAGCCCATCTCCTTTTCAGCTGGCTCCCTCCTCAGGAGCTGCAGGGCTGAGGAAGCGGCTGCCTGTCCTCCACCATCTGGCCCAAGCCAAGAGAGGGAAGGGGGTTCTCCTGCCCCGCTCTCTCCGGCACCACACGCACCCCTCCTCCGACTGGCCAGAGCCCTTCGTTCACACACTGCCTAACCAGGACTGGGGAAGCAGAGCTTGCAAAGGGATTTTCCAGAAGTTACACAGAGCTACGATTGGCTCCAAGAGCCCCGGGGCTGGCTGATTCCCTGTACCTGGGTCCTGGCCAGGTGCACCACACAGGGTCCTCGCTCTGCCCTGTTCTGCCTCATGGGGTCTCGATGCCTTCCTGCTGGGCCCTGGGCTGGTGGTCTCTCCAAACACTGCCCTCATCCTGCAGGGTCCCTGCCACAGCGCTGAGTTCCTTGTAGAGGCTGCACACTGCGTGCCCACCCCGGGACATCCTTTTGGATGCATGCCTGGGAAACCTCCTCACCCCTCAGCGCCCCCAGTTTGAAGGTCTCTTCCCCCATCTCTGGTGTCCCCATCTCTGTGAGCATCAGACCAGGGCACAGCCTAACCAAATACTCGGCCCTCATAGAACCTCAGGGACCATCGAGGCCTGCCCACGGAGGGCCTTGGAGTTGCGCAGGGCCCTGGTGGCCAGAAAAACGCACATCGGGTTCCATCTGCAGCAGCAGCCCCAGAGACTGGGGTGACAGCTGGGGTGGCTGGGGATTGGGGACAGGGTGCAGGCTGACACATTCCGTGGCAGCCCCGTGACGCAGGCACACCCGTGTCCCTGCCACTTGGCACGTGGCACAGCGGCAGAGCTCCTCTCCCGCCCCCAGCTTGAGATGCTTCTGGGGGTGCACCAGGGGCTCTGGGGAGGGGCACCATGGCCCAGCAGGCACGTGGCCTCGAGAGAGACCCGTGTTGCTGTCCCAGCAGACTAAGGACCCATGGTCAAGCCCAGGGCAGCTCAGCCTTGCAGGCTGGACACCCTGGGGAGTGGGTGCTGGGATCCAGGCCTCATCTCAGCCCCTGCTCGGGAGAGCGTGAGCACCCCCAGAGGTGAGGCCTGGGCCCCTAGTGCCTGAGGCCCGAACCCACACACTGCAGCCGGTTTGGCCGTTGGCTCCTCCTGCACCACTGGTGGGGAAGGCTCGGGTCACCTGCTCACCCACAGAGCTCCCTTCACTGCCACCCAGTCATGGGAGGCACAGCAGTGGGTGCCCACATGCAAGGAGATGGGATCTTTGAGTGGCTGAGCAGTGCCACCCAGGTGGGACATCCCTAACCCCCCGGCAACACAGGGCTTCCTGGGTCCACGTCTGGCTGGTTCAAGGGCCCCGTTCCTCCCACCCACAAAGCCGTCTCTGTCCTTCTCGTCGGTGGGAGTCGGACTGGTTCAGCTGCCCTGGAAGTGGGTGTGAGCTGGAGGCGGTGAGTCCATCGATGAAGGGGCTGAACTCATGGGTCTGGCCCCAGGTGAGGGGCGGTTGGGGGGGCAGGGGGCAGGGAGTGGGACAAGTGAGTCCTAGGGTCGCCCCACACAGCCGTGTTTGCAGCTGGGCCTTGAATTTCCCTCCCCTCCAGGCGGCTCCAGGTCCAGCCCTGTGTCCATCTCTGGCCAGGCCAGCCAGGTTCCTCCAGGCCTCTGCCCTGGCCTGGGAGATGGAAAACCCCTCAGTCTCCTGGCCTCACCCAAACCTTCTGCTCCAAGGCTGCTGTCCAGCACCACGCGGAGGGTGTGGGCTGGGAGAGGGCCCTGTGTCCAGCTGCGCACCAGGGAGGCCTGAGCTGCCCCTGGCCATTGGGCCCTCGGATGCATGGGTGTGGGGGAAGGGCCTGAAGGAAGAGGCAGGTGAGGTGGCCTCCGCCATCTGCTCCTCCTGCGGAGGGCAGGCTGCCCGAGCAGAGCCTGGAGCCTGGGAAGGGCCTGGAGTGGCCGCTGGGCCGTGGGTTCCTGAAGCGGCCACCGCAGCCCTCTCTCCTTCTGGGGTGATGGGTGGGGAAACCTCTCCACCCACCTAATCCCCAGGAGGACACGGGACCCCTCCCCAGCAGGTTTCCCTTCTGAGGCCCTCCAACCTTGGCCAAGGCCCGGTCCCGCCTCCAGAACCAGGAAAGTGCCAGCCTCCCCCAACCCTCCTCCTCCCGCGGGCGGCAGCTCAGTGCAGGCCTCGGGTCCAGAAGCAGCCCGGGGAGGGCCGGCCCG